TAGAGATATCACAGCCAAGTTATAAATTAAATGCTCTCTGGAAGCTTTGAGCACATTCTAAAACTGGCACACTTCTCAAGTTCACCTTTAACTAATGAGTCTGTTCTCTCCGAAGCCTGTCATAAATGTCACAAGTGCAAATAATGGAGAATATTTTAGAATGCCACAATTTCTAGGCCACACATAACAAGACAGAGTCACAATTGCCTTCTTTTATATATTACTTTTCCTTAAATGTCAGGGAACACTTTACACATTAGAAGAAATTGGGGGTGGGGCAGGGCGGGAGAGAACGAAATCCAAGAGGAAGATTTACATTCTCATCGCTAACAACATAAAAAGCATAAAATGAGTACCATAATTGAGCAATAGCAGCACAGAAGGGCTATTCCCTGTAGAATTAATCATGAAAGAGTAGCCTGAAGAAAGCTAAGACAGAAACTCTGCATAACGGTGTACTGAGAAAAGTCAAAATCAGACAAGGTTCTAATCAGAAATGATGACTTTGGTTCTGATGCTGTGTTTTGAACACATTTATTAAAAACCTGGAAAATGAATCATAGGGGGGAGATTTGCATACATAATTGATTGGTAAACACCAGCATTCCAACTATGTATGATTTGGAGGGCAATGTAGCAGGTAGGGGTCAAAAATATTGAAGAAGGATGTTGCAATTGTGTGATTTAAACCCCAAGATCTTTTTTTTACGTGCATTGCATGATTTACACATATTAAAATGGGTGGGTCTTCTGTTACATGACTACAACCACCATCTTGAGTTCCTCATGGACCCCTCTAAGTGCAACCAATTGTAGATTAATTTATAAATAGAAGCAGTGGGGCAATTTACTGCCTATAGGTAACATGAGGCTTTGTAATTTCTGTTTCTCAGTACGCAGAACACTAAGCTGAAATTTAGCAACAAAATAGTTTACATGATGGATTGAGGTTGGGTTATACAAGTGGTCCTCATTTAATGACTACTCGTTCAGCAACTGTTTGAATTTGCTGTTTGAAGTATAAGGAAAGAATATAAGTTGGCTTATTTGATCAAGTTTAAAATATGTTGTGACTTTCGCTTATCCTTTTTGGATGTTCTGCTGCCATTAGGATGGAAAAGATGGTATTGTATGGATTTGTTAATGCATAAAAGAAGGGATATGGGATGTAGAGATAAATGTTTGTAAACTTAGAAGGAGTGAAAAGTCACTAAATTTGTACTTTTGATGAAGATTGGAAATCACTTTTTTATGTAATTTTTTCTTTATTATATCCTTTTTCTTCTTTTCTTTCTTTTTTCTTGCATTTCTTCCTCCATTTTCTTTTCTTTCTTTGAGTTTGGCTTGTATTGAATTTGATATTTATAATCAAAATTCTCAATAAATGTTATAAACAAAACAGGATAGAGACAAAAAAGAATCATCATTAATAAGGTAACCCCAGGGCCAACACAGGTTGCCTGTTCCTGTACTTAAGCTTAATTTAATGATCCAGTAAATTTCCTGATAAATAGTTAATTGGTTAATTAGTGTGGTTGCAAGTTAATAGCATGTCCTTTTTTTAATGAGGATTTGGTTTCTAGAGTGGGTGTTTTGCTGCTTAAAATGATGTGTAGTATTAATAATCACAACCTCTGGCTCTGGAATGACTGGTTTTCCATAAATACAGTGTATTTGATGTCTTTTTAGTGTGTTCAGAAAGAAACAACATTTTCCCCTTTTGAAACTTTCTCTTCATGTGGGTGGATGGTGTTTTGTTTTTTTTTTTTTTTAAGAAAGTGCTGGAAGAGACTTTTGATTTATAAATGAAAATGTTTAGAACTAATCCAGGATCCGAAGCAGGTAGGTTGAGATGCTCAGGAATTTCACCCAATTTAAATGTCGGTTATTGCCATGGCTACCATAGCAATTATAAAAGTAGTCCTCTGTCTTTAACCACAGAGACAACACGCTGCCTTTTAACATGAAAGATATGGAAGCCTCACAACAGCTCTGTTTAATCATTCCTTGTCTAATATTTCTGCATCCATTTGGAATAGGCTGGCTGGGGATGATGGGTATTAAAACCAAACACTTCTAGAAAACGTCTTAGAAAGTTGCACTAGATCATTGGAATAGGTGTTTATAGATGCCTATTAAAAATATACAACTTTGCTTTTTTAGAACATCAGTTTTCTCTGAGTGGGTTTTAGGATAAAAATCCAACCCCCATCTCTGTGATCAAAACAAATCAAATCAAATAGCATAGGTTACATTCCTCAGAATGGACACAGAGCATATGTCTCTTTTATTCCAAGTAGTCCACTGGTGACTCAAATCAATTGTGTAATATTTGAGTATGTGTATGTGTGCGTGTGCATCTTGGCACAAAGACATTTTGTTCATCTATTTTTAACTTGGTTTGTTCCTATGTGAGAAGTACTTGTTGACATTTCTGTGAAGGGTGTGAAATAAATGTAAGTGCTCCTTGAAGTATTCCATTAGGACTACTTTAAAGAAAAATGTATGAAATATTTGCAACAACCACAAGAAACTCAGCGAGGAGATAACACTTGTAACAATAGAAGTGGTATCCAAACAAACAAAAAAATTATTGTAGCATGTTATGAGGGCGTCATGGCCTCATCTGAGGAACATTTCTCAGTGAAAGAACACACATCCAGCATTCTCATCAAGTCTTCCTCAACAATCGGAATAGACCCTAAAATACCTGGGATTAGAGCCACCATATATGATCAGCCAGAAGATCATCGCAGAAAGATTACTTTTATTGTTTACTAGCTGATAATCCAGCATTGCCCGGTATTTATCCTAATCCTGTATTAGACAGGAAAAGGAATGAATTATATCTATAGTGTCAAATCAAAGTAATAGTAGAGTATACAAATTATAAACAGTTTTTTTTAAGAACCAATCCCCCTTACCAGAGGGGGGGCCCTGGTGGAGTACTGTGAAGCCGTTACCATGGCAACTCCACTGTGCTGTACAGTAGAAGCCATTTTAAGGCACAACAGGCTGTATCTTAATAGAACTTGAATCCAAAATGCACACTATCACTGTCAAAAGTACTGTGATTTGACACTATAGATATACTTCATTCCTTTCCATTTCAGTGGCTCAGGCTTTCCACAGTCATACTGCCACGCTCACCATGCCACGCCCACAGAACTGGTAGTAAAAAAATTCGAATCCCACCACTGATGCATTTTTATAAATACACAAGATCCTTTTCTTAGGATTGTGATCCATACTTACTAGTGCAGCCATGCAGCCCCATGTGAACAATTATACCAGAAATGGAATAGCAGAAAGTGATATGAGGAGTTTCTTTAGGAATGATGGTCCAGTCAAGAAAAGCTTGATACATCTGGATGTTCTTGCAGCTACGTTCAGCTTAAAAGAGTACCCATGATAAAGTGAGTAGCTACAGATGGACCTTGACTTGCAATTGCAACTGCATCACTAAGTAATAAAGTCATTAAGTAAATCACACCCAATTTTGGTACCTTTTTTGCTGTGGTTGTTAAGCAAATTGCTCTGGTCATTAAGCAAATCATGGTCGTTAAGTGAATCTGGCTTCTTCCATTGACTGTGTTTGGTGGAAGGCTTTTAGGAAGGTTGCAAATGACGAATGACCCTCGGGACACTTTTAACAGTGATAAATACATGCTGGTTATGGAGAACCCGAATTTTGATGTGACTGCATGGATATTGCAATATTAATGCAAGGACCCTGGTCATAAGCCACTTTTTTTGGCGCCATTACAATTTTGAATGGTTGTTAAACAAAAGGTTATAAGTGGAGGTTTACCTGTATCACCTTTAGTAAAGATATGTGAAATCACTTCTGGAATCATTAGTAAGGGCCACAATGGTTGCTAAATTCTGGAATTGGTCCACGTATTTGGAAAATGTCCAGGTTAGTGAAAACTGCTGGGGTACACTGGCTGTTAGTTGTGGTTATTCTTGTTTCCTAAACCTTAATTGACCTTCACGGTATCCTGGCTGTTCTTACTGCCTAGAACAGTATTTTGTCCAATCTTGGCAGTAATCTTGAAGGTGTGTGAACTCCCCCAATATAATGGCTGGGGAATTTTGGGACTTGAAGTCCACACAAGCTTAGAATTGCCAAGGTTGTGAAAAACACTGTCCTAGACTCTGACCTTTTCTCTCTTGTTTTACATTCTGGAACCTCAAGGGCAATCCATCTTTTGACTTCTGGATCAACTTACGGAACACTCTTCTTTATATCCCTCTGGCTGCAAGTAATCCTTCCTGGAATTAGATCTTGGATTGTACAGCAATGCTTTTTCCAATTCCTGATCCAGGACAGGAAAAATGGATTATTCTACTAATACGTGCTAGAGAAGAGGTGGGGAACCTGTGACCCTCCAGATGCTGCTGAATTATTTACTCTTAGTATCTCTTATCATCACCTGGAAGAGCTTGGATTTGTAACTCAACAATACCCAGAGAGCCTTTTGCAATTCCGTGCAACCTATTGTTTTCCAAGCGATATTTTCATCTCCTTGATGCTGCAATAGTCATAAGTGTGAAAAACTGACGTAAGTCACTTTTTTTCAGTACCATTCTAACTTTGAACAGTCACTAAATGAATTGTTGTAAGTTGAGGACTACTTTTGTGAATTGAAGTGGAATACAAGGAAGCGTCTCCAGAGTCGTGTTGTGGCAAGATGAGTAGCAAATAAATTTTATAAATACATACCATGTTTCTCCAAAAATAAGACCTGGTTGGGGGATGTCTTACCCGCTTACCTTAGGACCACCATAGCCATGCCTCCCCTATCTTGACTCCTGTTGCGCCACCGCCCAACTTCTGCAGCCGCTTGTGGCCACTCGTGGCCAGATGTTACCTGGTGCATTGTGCCAGTGCCTCCACTTGCAGTGAGCCTCATGGGTCATAGCGCCAGTTCCTCTACTCGTAGCAGGATGCTGTGTGGCATGTCATGCCAGTGCTGTCGTTTTGGGCAGGAGGCCGCATGGGTGTGTTGCACCATTGTGTGTGTGAGCGGCCTGCTGTAAGTAGTGACATCAGCGCAACAAGCCACGTGGCTGCCTGGCACGAGCGGCAACACTGGCATGACACACCACATGGTGTCCTGCTGCAAGCAGCAGTAACAGCACAATGTGCCACGTGGCATCCAGCAGCAGAAGTTGGGCAACGGTGCAACAGTTTTCAGAGCATGGGAGGCCTGGCTGCAGCAGTCCTAAGGTAAGTGGGCATGGGGCACATGGGGGCAGATTCACCCCCACCCTCGCCCTAGCTTGATTTTTACACATGCACCTCACCCCACCTCATACAACCAGACTAGGGCTTAACTAGGCTTATTTTGGGAGTAGGGCTTATATTAGGCACAAATATTAAAATCAAGCTAGAGCTTATTTTCTGGATAGATCTTATTTTCAGGGAAACACAGTACATGCCTACACAGTACATACCTATGAGAAAGAGAGAGATAAACTGGATTACCCAGATCTGGGTGCAAATAGCAGATTGACCAGTAGATAGCAACAAATATATTAGAGTCCATCAACTCTTTGCTACCATCTAATGATTGCCTATTGGTTGACAAGTGTGGTTTATTTTGGCCATGAGTTTTCCATTGCTGTGTAGCATTTTGGAAGCTCCAGCTCTACAAACACATACACATGCACACGTCTTTCTTGCAAAGTTTAAACTAAATATATTCCCCTGCATCATCCACTTAGGGAAAATGTCTGGGAAACAGAACTGTGCATAGCATTCCAAACCTGCTCTCTGATCACTCCAAACCCCACCCAGCTTGGACTGAATTTGAATCAGATATTGTACACATTTGTTATGCTTTTTTTAAAAAAAAGTTATAAACAACTAAAATTGGCAACAGCCTGGGCCCTTTCCAATTCTCTCTAAAAGATATATATTTATCCACAGGGTGGGTCTGTCCCCTGGAACTGGCTGCACCACTTCCATCCAATGACTTCAAATGCAATTTGTTTCTATCTAAAACTCTATGCACAAAAGGTTAAAAGTTCTGCCGTGCTGATTAATGCCTTATGTTGTATATTTATTTTTCCAGAAATCTATGCAAATTCATCATCCTGGGGATTGTGACTTCCTCTTCTTGCAAGCGGATTATTAACTCTAAAAGGGTATTATTAAAAAAAATATCATTGCAGCTTTTGCTATTATTTGCAGAAACTCCTGGGAATCATAACTCAACTATATACAGTATTTAATAGTATACACTTGAATGCCTGATGGTAGACATCAACATGTTTAGAATACTGTGTAGGTTCTTGAGATCTTAGATGGATGGATGGATGGATGGATGGATGGATAGATAGATGATAGATAGATAGATAGATAGATAGATAGATAGATAGATAGATAGATAAACAAAAAATGGTACAAGGCCTGAAGGACAAAACATATCAGGAGAGATGGAGGAATTGAATATGTAGAGCCTGGAGGACAGAAGGTAAAGTGGGGAGAAAAGATTGAAACCTTTACTTATATGAAGGATGTAAATGATAGTTCTAAAAGGCAGTATTTTCAATATAAAGCCACAATCAAGAACTAACATCACACTGACAGAGAGAAGTTCAAAAATAATGTTAGAAAATATCATTTCACCAAAAGAGAAGCAGAAGCTTGGAACCAACTTCCAGAAGAGGTAGTTGGTCAATTATCAGCAGCTAATTTTGAATGTGCTTCTGTCTATCATCCGACAGAAATCTATATACATAAAAGCAAAATACCACGCATCATCACAAAATCTCCAGAATCGTAAAGCCTACAAACTTGAAATTTGGCATGTATGTTCCTCTTGGCTTCTAGATGCTCACTAAGAAAGGATTTTTTGAAATGACCATCAGAGCATTAGTATTTCATATATTATTATTAACACACTGTGATGCTAAGGAGCTCTACTACTCCTCCCCACCTGAAAATAAATCTGTCCCAAATGCAAAACCCAAGTAGAGGAGAGGATTTTCAGTTTCAGTTTTAGTTTCACAGCAGCAAGCAGCTTTAGTACAGAACAGTTGAGTTAAGCCACGTCCAGGCTCCTTGCTGTCTCCTTCTTGCTCACACAGCAAATACTGCTTCAGCTTCCAAACAGCCCTCAACTCTCTCACACACTGACAGCACACTAGCCAGATGAATACCGATGGATACTGGTAGGCAGAGGCAGAATCTTTTTCTCCTTATTTTCCTCTCCAAAAACTAAGCCCGATCACATAGTTTCATAGTGAAGCATGGATATCCGGCTAGTTTAAAATAAAGAAACAAAAAGAAAAGAAAAAGAAAGAAAGAAAAAAGAAAAGAAAAATAAACAAAAGACTCAAAGGGCAGATTCAATGGACCACTGAGTCTTTTTCTGCCATCAGTTTCCTGTTTCTACGTTACTCAGTTTGCTCATTTTACTCTGATTACAACTGGATAATATTTTAATTTTACAGGGACATTAAATTTCATTTGTTCCTTATGGCCCACTACGTAGAGAACATATAATATCTTTAGAAGTTCCAAAGTAGGGTTAGCTTGAGAAGTCACAAAACTACCCAAAAGAATATGACCAAGAAAATGGCAGAATGCAGAGAATGGAGCCCAACATTGCCATTTTAATGGAAGGCTTAAAGAAAAACATTAAAACATTGCTATGCATTTTGATTTAAACAGGGGTGGGATTCAAATTTTTTAACAACTGGTTCTGTGGGTGTGGCTTAGTTGGTGGGCGTGGCTTGGTGGTCATGTGACTGGGTGGACGTGGCTTGGTGGTCATGTTATTGGCCAACTCAATATCATTCACATTGAGGCACGCATCTCTTCTCCTGGCCTCTCATGACTGTGGGGATGCTGCAACAGTCGTAAGTGTGAAAAATGGTCATAAGTCACTTTTTTCAGTGCCATTGTAACTTTGAATGGTCACTCCACACAAGCAATATACCAGCAAAGGAGTGGGAAAAAACTCCAGCAACGTTCCTGAAACAGGAAGTCTAGTCCTACCAAGTATGTAATAAGGGTTAACAGAGAGACAGTTTCTGTAAGCAACACCAGAATTTATTTTTTATTTTATTTATTTTATTTTATTTGTCAATTGTTTACAAGATAATAAGTATAAGTGTATACATAGTTATGAATACATGAAATGGGTACATATAAGAAAAATAAAAGAAAAATAAAAGAAACAATAGGACAGGAATGGTAGGCACGTTGGTGCGCTTTTGCACGCCCCTTACAGACCTCTTAGGAAAGGGGTGAGGTCAATAGTAGACAGTCTAAGGTTAAAGTTTTTGGGGTTTGGGGAAGAAACTACAGAGTCGGGTAGAGTATTCCAGACATTGATCACTCTGTTGCTGAAGTCGTATTTCCTGCAATCAAGTTTGGTGCGGTTAACCTTGAGTTTGTATCTATTGTGTGCTCTTGT